GGGGGGGGTGTGTGCACACGTGTGTGCAAGGCCCAGCAGGGTCTATGTGCGTGTGAGCACATGTGTGGGGAAGTGTGTGTGCATGTGTGCAGTTCCCCCTCACCAGGGACTCTCAGTTGCCCCCCTAGTCCCCTCCCAGTCCCCCCAGTTTGGGGGGGGGACTTGGCACCATTAACCTCTTCTCCCCCCCGCAGGCTCTGAGGGTCCATGGCCCAGGACAACGCCGCCTTCTGCGGGGTCTCCGAGGGGGTCCCCGAGGGGGTCTCTGAGGAGGCAAAGCCCCCCCTGGTGCCCCCCCGGCGGCGGGGGGCCGGGGCCCGCAAGCGGCAGCGCTACGTGGAGAAGGACGGGAAGTGCAACGTGCAGCACGGGAACGTGCGGGAGACCTACCGGTACCTGACCGACATCTTCACCACTCTGGTGGACCTGGAGTGGCGCTTCAGCCTCCTGGTCTTCATCCTGGCCTACGCCACCACCTGGCTCTTCTTTGGCCTCATCTGGTGGTTCATCGCCTACTGCCGGGGGGACCTGGACCACCTGGAGGACCACGCCTGGACCCCCTGCGTCAACAACCTCAACGGCTTCGTCTCTGCCTTCCTCTTCTCCATTGAGACCGAAACCACCATCGGCTAACGACCCCCCGGCAACACACCCAACATCGTGCTGCTGCTGCTCCAGGCCATCCTGGGCTCCATGGTCAACGCCTTCATGGTGGGATGCATGTTTGTGAAGATCTCACAGCCCAACAAGCGTGCGGAGACCTTGGTCTTCTCCTCCCACGCCGTGGTGTCCCTGCGGGATGACCGGCTCTGCCTGATGTTCCGCGTGGGCGACCTGCGGGACTCGCACATCGTGGAGGCCTCGATCCGTGCCAAGCTCATCAAGTCCAAGCAGACCCAGGAGGGCGAGTTCATCCCCCTGGACCAGACCGACCTGAGCGTGGGCTTCGAGACGGGTGACGACCGCCTCTTCCTGGTCTCCCCCCTCATCATCAGCCATGAGATCGACGAGCGCAGCCCCTTCTGGGACGTCTCACGGCACCAGCTGGAGAAGGATGATTTCGAGATCGTCGTCATCCTCGAGGGGATGGTGGAGGCCACAGGTAACAGGGACACTGGTTGTGGCTGGGGTGGGATGTGCCTGGGGACACCTCATCTCCATGGGGACGCCTCATTTTCACGGGAATATCTCCATAGGGACACACCATCTCCATTGGGACATCTCACCTCCATGGAGACACCTCATGGGGACATCTCAGCTCCGTGGGAACACTTAACTTCCTTGGGGAAACCTCCATGGGGACCACTCACCTCCGTGGGGACACCTCCATGGGAATACCTCATCTCCATGGGAATACCTCATCTCCATGGGAATACCTCCACTGGGACACCTCCTGGGGACACTTCACGTCCATGGGCACATCTCACCTGAATGGGGACATGTCCCCCCATGGCCCACAGTGTGTTCCCACCAGGTCTGGGGGGGGTGGTTTGTGACACCAAATCCACCCTAACCCCAAAACTCAGCCTGCATGTGGGACCCCCCCACCCAGAACACCCCGGTGGGGCTGGGGGAGGGCAGCCTTCCCCCGTCCCCCTCGTCCCCCACGGTGTCCCCCGGTGTCCCCGGGTGCAGGGATGACGTGCCAGGCCCGGAGCTCATACCTGGCGGACGAGGTGCTGTGGGGCCACCGCTTCGCGCCCCTGCTCAGCCTGGAGGAGGGGTTCTACCAGGTGGACTACGGGGGCTTCCACCAGACCCTGCCCGTGCCCACCCCGGCCACCAGCGCCCGCCAGTTGGCCACCGCCGCCGCCCGCCGCCAGGCCCATCTCTACTGGTCCATCCCCAGCCTGGACCAGGAGG